GTTTGTGTCACGGCGCTCATCAAGTAATGATTTGCTAATTCCAACTGATTGATGGTGCCCCTGGAATCATCCAACCTAAATTTGGTCCCCTCTTGCAATTATTATGCGCACGCGTCAGTAAAGAACTGAGTGAATTTATGTCTCTTGGCAGGCGATATCGGACAAAACAGACACGCCACGCCCCGAGTCCAGTGTCTGTCGCAAGGTGTTGAACACGACACTCTGAAACCCACCGTGAAATGTCATCATATACAAATTTAATTCACCATCCTCCAGCAGTTCTACCCAATAATTTATGATATTGAAGACAACAAATTGCGCGCGGGAAAGGAAATTCTAAAGAACCGCCCTCCTCACCATTTTCCCAAGTCGGTTGTGGTCTGATTGAATTATTCACACGGTTGGCAGGCGACGGGACAGGGGAATTCGCACATTCCTTGTGTGTCCAGGTCTATCACGTCGACATTGCGTCACACGGGCCGATTTAATTGGACCGAAACTCACGGAGAATCGTAATTCCTATGTTTTGCACTATCCTTTCTAGGCCTGTGATCATATTAAGTACATGCCCAAACATGGCGCTATGCCGTGTACTCCTAGAGTGGTGTGCACAGAATCAACGAGAGATCTGTCACCGTTTGTAAACTAATCTAATCGTATGCTGCATCCAACGATTATAAAGAAGTGCATTGGGGAGAACGGCATTTGTTCATTTTGTTGTGGAAAGCGTAATATTTCATACCTGTTCGATGTTATTCAGTCCAACTTATAGTGAAAAAGAAATCATTTTTTATAATAAAGTTTTGCATTTAGAACTACCTGATAGACTGTATTCATATGTCCGCCATTTTGAATTGAACATGGGAGTTGAAATAACAGTGACTAAATAAACGTCAATACAAATGAATGTCAGTTTTTGTTCAGAATAACTTAACATTTGTTGTTATCATGGGCGGATATCTGGGGGTGGGGTGGGCAGACATATCCCCCACCTTTTTTTTTTGGGGGGGGGGATAAAACCAATATAACCATCCCCCACTTTTCAAGCCACTGACGCTATGGCTGAGATCGGGCGGCTTGTTCTTGTATGCTCAGGAACAGCTCGATTTGTTGTTCGTGGGTCGACCGCTCGAACGACGGGAACAAACAACTGGTTATTGGTGTTAGTTAGGGGTGCAGACCACTAATTCAAGAGGGAATTTCGGGCCAGCTCATTGGCATTAAAAGTGCCCCCACAGTATCTTTTGAAAAAAGATACTGTTTGTTTGGCCCCCAAAATGGTGAGATCGTGTAAATCGTTGCCGGGATCAAATCCGTGGGTCTTTGAGCTTTCATAATGAGAGCAGAATGGCTAAAAACTACGGTTGGTCCTGAGTGCCCGAGAAATTTGAGGGTTGCCACTTGAAAAATGGCTGCAATCAGACTTCGGGGAAAAAAAACACTTTTTGGGGGTGATTTTGTTTTGTGGGAATAATTAAAATTGTAATTGGTTAACCCACAAAAAAAATCAATAGAAATTGAAAGATAAGTGACATCCCGTCAGGCAAGAATTTCATTTGTGTTTCAGAAATCTCAGGGATGTTGGCGTGCATGTTATTGAGCCCTGAAAAGTGCTAATTTTACACTGTTTTCAATAGGGCTTGAATTAGTGGACTGTGTCTTTAGTGGCAAGCAACATGCAACATGGCGGTGTCCAAGTACGTTATTCGAGAGTTAATGTTTGCATTGGCTGAATTCTTTCTATTTAAACAGGAACATTCATTCCCGTGTTATGGAAAATAATAAATGTTGTGAATAAGGTCTATCCGTCAATTAAGGGGCGTGTTCTTTTAATGCTATGCTGCCCGTGATAAAGGGACGGGATGGGGGGTTATTTCTATTGCTCCTTACAAAAATTACAGATAGATGAGTCCCTCTGAAATGTATGGACGTAAAATTGCAACTGCTTTTTGTTTCCAATTTGCAGCTGAGACTGAAGTACACGTATGTCTCTTGGCTCTATGGTTTACTCGGGTGTGTACAAGGCATCTGACTCATTGGGCGTCGCGGGGAGGAGACGATTGACTCCCTACGAAAACAAAAATGGAAAAGAAACGGAAGAAAGAAAAAGAAAGATGCATAAAAAGGGATGAAAGTCGCCAATCTGCATGAAACACAACACCTCAAAATGACCCCTCTCACTGTTAATGGTTGGGAAGTTCGTTGATAACGAGTTATTTGACCCTACCCTCCCCCTCCCCGGGGGAAAAGCCCGGTGAAGTCCATGTTTGACCATAGAGCTACAACCCTCTATGGTTTGACTGTGAACTACGGTACTCGTGCCATCGAATTATTTCCATGTGCTGTTTCAGGCTCTGTCTTCTTTGTTGTTCCAATGTAATAAAGAGTCTTCCCACTTACAGCTCTACCTTCTCTGATTAGTTTCTCGTAACGATACAAATTTTCTGCAGCTTTCTACTCCTCTTGAATATAAAGACTATTTGAAATGTAGACGAAAAGGGAGGCCACGTAGAACGACGCGCGTCATATACATATTATGCCCAGGACGCATAAAATATACACTTTCTGAACATGATGCGAGTCGTTCTCCGTGGCCTCCTTTCCCGTCCACTGTATCGGGCATTGAAAGTGCATTTTCTTTTACATCATTTAAAATTTTCCTTGCTCTTCCTGAAATCATGGAGGCGCTGTTTGCTGTGATGTCTATCCAGGAAGACGCTGCTTAGCATAAGGGGATCTGTATTTGGTCAAACCAAATAACGGATCACTGAAAGTATCAATAAAAAACCTTTCTTTAGCAGCCAAATGTCATGAACTGCCACAACAAATCACTAAAGAATATTTGAACAGCTGTAATAACTATTACTGTAATTATCATAAATACGGAAACATTAGCATAAGGCAAAATGTGCTCAAAAATTGCCTTTAACGGCAAAACACAATTAAACTGCATTAAATAGAGACAAAGATACATTTTTATGACTTTCGTTACATTTCATGCACAGACCCTTTAAAAACATACTTTGAGATGTTTCCAACGTAAATCATCATGTTCTAGCCCCGTGTGTGTTCACAAACAGAAGTGATTGATCCCTTGATTACAGTATTAAAAAGATCACATTAAATTTGCCTGCAAAATGTTTACCATGAGGTCTTCCAAATAAGAGTGAAGGCAAAGAACTCTCAAAATTATGCAGAAAACATAATCTTTTGCCATTGATCGATTAATTATAGTCTAGAATTTTGCACCCCTTTGAGAACATAGAGGGAAGGCCCTAGTTCTCAACTAGTTTCAGACTGAAGGGTCTGTACGTCTGCAAGACAAGGCTAGGCCCCGGTATGGAATTCCATATCTGCCGTCGCCCGTCGCCCGTCTTCCGTCGTCCGTCGCATTTTGCTTTTTGTTGTGTCCCAATTCTGCCATTTACCAGTTCCAAACATGCCATTTTCCGTCGCCCGTCGTGCGTCGCCCGTCGTGCGTCGTCCGTCGTGCGTCGCCCATCAAATGGGTTGCATAGGACCTGCAAAAGCCGTTGTTTAACAAATGACAATGCTACGATTCCATTCACTTCTGAAGATCTTTTCCGAATAAGGCAAGTACAAATCCCACCTGCAAAGCATATACTAGTCACATAATTAATTCCAATAATGCTAGACTACCCCTGCCCCTTGACAAGAAAAAAATCGCCTCTCTGAGAATTCAACAAAGTGTTTTTTGGGAAAAACATTTTCAGCCAAAATCTTCCGGCCAACTTATCCACAGTGTTATTCTAATTTGCATACTGTAAAAATGTGCCAACTTGTTTTCATCAAATTCCAGGAAGAAATCTGCCAACCGATACAGACATTCTATCTTGTCCTCTCAATTTCACCTTGAAATCCAGAAATACTACACGTGCTGTGGATAACAAACTGTTTATTAAATGTATTGTTAAGGGGCAATTACCACTTGGTTTAAGTTTCAGAAAATATGACGTGTAGGTTTTTGTGGGTGTGTATGCCATGGTGGATAGACCAATGAGAACAGGTTGTCCAGCACATCAGCGTTATTTATGGGGCTAACAAGTAACGTTACTGTTTAAAAGACTTCTGTGAGCCAACCTGCAACTAAAGTCATGTCT